CAGACTCAAAAAAAAAAAAAAAAAAAAAACATTGCTGGGTTATTTTACCCTAATGTTGGGTCAAATATGGACAAACCCTAAATTGGAGTAATCTTTTAAATTTAATTCAATTGCAATGACCAATAAAAATACCAATTAAAATGCATTTTTTCTACCCAACTGTTGTGTTTGTGTATTATTTGACCCAACACTGAGTTAAAATAACCCATCATCTTTTAAACTGAGGGTGTTTTAGTCAAGTTTCTTTGATGAAAAAGCAGACAGTGTTCGTGACAGACTCAATATTGTGCATGTTTTCCTCTCTCTCTCTCACGTTTGTTTGTTGTGTAATGTGTGTCGGATTAGTATATGCTTTTACACAGCGGATGCCCGTCCAGCTGCAACCCAACACTGGCAAACACCCAGAAATTCACATACACATACACCACATACACACACAACAGTTAACCAGCCGCCACTGCTTTAATCTTTATATTATTCACAAACTCAAAGAACCATTGCTGGGTTATTATATCCTAATGTTGGGTCAAATATGGACAAATCCTAAGTTGGAGAAATCTTTTAAACTACATTGCAATTAATTACCAATTAAATTACTAATTAAAGTGCAATTTTTCTACGCAACTGTTGTGTTTGTGTATTATTTGACCCAACACAGAGTTAAAATAACCCATCATCTTTTAAACTGAGGGTGTTTTAGTCAAGTTTCTTTGATGAAAAAGCAGACAGTGTCTCGTGACAGACTCAATATATTCTCCCTCTCTCACATGTTTTTTGTTTAATGTGTGTCGGATTAGTATATGTTTTTACACAGAGGATACTCTTCCAGCTGCAACCCAACACTGGAAAACACCCAGACACACATTCACAGTTAATCATTTCCCCTATAGCGCATGTGTTTGGACTGTGGGGGAAACTGAAGCACCCGGAGGAAACCCATGCCAACACAGGGAGAACATGCAAACTCCACACAGAAATGCCAATTGACCCAGCCGGGGCTTGAACCAGCGACCTTCTTGTACAACATTGTACAATTTTGTATTAACTACATTTACATGTGTATGGTTTATAAAACCACAACCATGAACATTTAAATTCAAAATAAAGTATAAAAAATACAAAATATCCCGCAATATAATATTTATATTATTATATAAATGCTATGAAAATAAAATACATTTTAATATGAAAATGTAATACTAATAATTGTAACTCTATTAACAGTAAAACACAAATAAACCAAATCTATACAGATAAAGCTGCTGTAAATGAATAAAAAAAAGCTTCTCTTCATTAAAATATGAAATGAATCTCACAATCTTGATCTTTATAACTGTTATTGAGGCGCTGTAAAAAGCACTTTCTGTTCCTCATGAAAGATGCAGAAATGCAGGGCCGAGCTGACCTGAGAACAGGCGGAGCTGGTGCTGTAGAAGTGTCTGTATGGCCAGATGTGTGTCTGTGTGTGCTATTACATAACCAGCTGTTGACATGACTCATGCTGAGCCGCCTGTGACCTGCACACACACACACACACACCCACACACACACCCACACACACACACACACACACACACACACACACACACACACACACACACACACACACACATATACACATTCTCATTCACACAGACACACATATTTACACACAAATACACAAAATCTCAAACAGTTGAAGTCTCAGAATAATTAGCATCCCTGAATTATTAGCCCCTGTTTATTTTTTCCACAATTTCTCTTTAACGGAGAGAAAATCAGAATAATAGTCTTATCAAAATAATATCATAACTTATCATAATAGTTTTAATAACTTTTTTATACTTTATACTTTTTTACTTTTTTATCATTTATATTATCTTTGTCATGATGACAGTAAATAATATTAGACTAGATATTCTTCAAGACACTTCTATACAGCTTAAAGTGACTTTTAAAGGCTTAACTAGGTTAATTAGATTAACTAAGCAGGTTAGGGTAATTAGGCAAGTTATTGTATAACAGTGAATTGTTCTGTAGACCAGTGATTCCCAATCTTTTCAGCCCGCAACCTCCAAAATGACAATGCCAGTGACTCGCAGCACACAATATCCTCTGAGGTGGTTATAAATACAGAAAACCTGCATGCAATGGCGCAGAATAATGGCGTTAGAATAAAAGCAGTTTTTATTTTTTAAAAATCCTTATAAATAAGCTTTATATTTTTTCAATAGTCTACAGAACAAACCATCGTTAAACAATAACTTGCCTAATTACCCTAACCTGCCTAGTTACCTGAATTAACCTAGTTAAGCCTTTAAATGTCTCTTGAAGCTGTATAGAAGTGTCTTGAAGAATATCTAGTCTATTTACTGTCATCATGGCAAAGAGAAAATAGATCAGGTATTAGAAATGAGTTATTACAACTATTATGATTAGAAATGTGCTGAAACAGGGGGCTAATAATTCAGGGGGGCTAATAATACTGGCTTCAACTACACAAGTACAGTATATACAAACAGTGTGGCCACACCTACACTCACTCACATACACACAACTTACTTAAATGCATAAACACACTCACACACCAACACACTTAAATGCATAAACACACTCACACACTAACACACTTAAATGCATCAACACACTCACACACAAACACACTTAAATGCATCAACACACTCACACACAAACACACTTAAATGCATGAACACACTCACACACAAACACACTTAAATGCATGAACACACTCACACACAAACACACTTAAATGCATAAACACACTCACACACAAACACACTTAAATGCATCAACACACTCACACACCAACACAATTAAATGCATAAACACACACACAAACACAAACACACTTAAATGCATAAACACACTCACACACAAACACACTTAAATGCATCAACACACTCACACACAAACACACTTAAATGCATCACTCACACACAAACACACTTAAATGCATAAACACACTCACACACAAACACACTTAAATGCATCAACACACTCACACACAAACACACTTAAATGCATAAACACACTCACACACAAACACACTTAAATGCATCAACACACTCACACACAAACACACTTAAATGCATAAACAAACTCACACACAAACACACTTAAATGCATAAACACACTCACACACTAACACACTTAAATACATCAGCACACTCACACACAAACACACTTAAATGCATAAACACACTCACACACAAACACACTTAAATACATCAGCACACTCACACACAAACACACTTAAATGCATTAACACACTCACACAACAACACAATTAAATGCATAAACACACACACACACACACAAACACACTTAAATGCATCAGCACACTCACACACAAACACACTTAAATGCATCACTCACACACAAACATACTTAAATGCATAAACACACTCACACACTAACACACTTAAATGCATAAACACACTCACACACTAACACACTTAAATACATCAGCACACTCACACACTAACACACTTAAATGCATCACTCACACACAAACACACTTTAATGCATCAACACACACTCACACACACATGCACATTAACACACACCCACCAGCTGGAGAGGTTGCGGGAATGTGGGTTATCGTGCACATATATTTTGGGAATGTCCAAAAATACATGCATTTTGGCAAAGGGTAAAGATCGAGATCATGAAAATTATGCAGTTAGATATACCTTTTACTCTCCTGTTTTTCTTGCTTGAAGGGATCCAATAAAAACCAGAGATATATACTACATATACTTTTACCAAATGCAAGAAAGACTATAACAATAAATTGGATGAAGCCACACCCTCCGACAATAGTATAATGCAGGGGTCACCAATCTCAGTCCTGGATGTTCGGTGTCCCTGCAGGGTTTAGCTCCAACTTGCCTTAACATACCTGCCTGGATGTTTCAGGTATACCTAGTAAGAGCTTGATTAGTTCAGGTGTGTTTGATTAGGGTTGGAGCTAAAATCTGCAGGACACCGGCCCTCCAGGAGCAAGTTTGGTGACCCCTGGTATAATGGATAGGAACTTGAATCTATGTAAAGAATGGAGTATATGACTGCTCAACTTCCATTAAAACTATATATTTTAAACAAAGTTACTGTTGCTTTATATATGAACAGGACATATATTTCCAGCTCCTTTCAAACTGAAAATAATGTATGTTTTTTTTTTTTGTAATTTGTTTTTTCATTTAGATTTAGGGTTATTTTTTTCTGTCGTTTTTTTTTTTAAATAATCCCTGCTGTCACTGAACGTTCTGTAAAATGTTTTAATGTTTTTTAATGTATAAAAATAAAACAACACACACACACACACAGTCATTCTCAGCGCTGCATTAAACATGAGCTCTCAGTGATGCGCTTAAGTGAGTCTGAAGATAACGACACACACACACACACACACACACACACTCTAGTTTATTGCTCTGCAGTGTAAAAAGGTGTGTGTTTGTGTACACTCAGAGCGGAAATGTGACTCAGCACACACTCATAAGGCCAGTGTGTTCAAACAGTAGCTCATAATCCACATCAGAGAGATTACACACTCTATAAACCCTATTTCATTTCATCATGTGCAATTTGAATTCATTCATTCATTTTCACAGCGCAATGAACCGCCAACTATTCTAGGATATGTTTAACACAGTGGATACCCTTCCGGCTGCAACTCAGTGCTGGGAAACACCCATACACACTCATTCACACACATACACTACAGCCAATTTAGTTAATCAATTCCCCTACAGCGCATGTGTTTGGACTGTGGGGGAAACCAGAGCACCTGAAGGAACACGGGGAGACTCAAACTAGCGACCTTTTTGCTGTGAGGTGACAGTGCTAACCACTGAGCCACCAAAAGAGTTACAATATAGAAAGCTTCATCACATTCATTCTCATCTCATTTATTCATCTCTTGAGATTTATTCATCTTCCGGTCACCATGGCAACAGGATCACAGTGACACATCAGTGAACACACAGAGAAGCACATCGTTTCACATTTCTTTATTTTTCATGTTACATAATATGGAAACAGCTTTAGTGATACAAAAATCCCCCAAATGATGTGGCGGCTTGTGATTGGCCGAGGAGGCTGCAGCTGATTGGCTGTCAGCGTTTTCAGGTTATGCTGGTAGTTTGTGAGCGACTGCTCCTCTATGCTGATAGTAACACTGAGAGTTCATTTCACATTTCCAAAGTACATGTAAACTGTTCGTACATTCAAAACAACGTTGATGGTCACAATTCCTGCAGATTTGCCCTGAAGGATGCGACAGGCACTGAGCTGTAAGACAAGCCGGTGTACTGACGTACATGTTCAGCATGTAAACACACTTGACATCCACTTGAAAACACATCCACCACCCATTTCAACTTCAGAATATTACAGAACATTCACATGATGATGACAATTATGAACGGATGTTTCTTTGGAATGTTTATTAAGAAACTGGTGGACTTTTCATTGGTTAAAATAAGTAAATAGTTAACACATTTCACTAATGCGTCATTTAAAGGGGCAGTTCCCACCAAAATTCCAATTCAGTCATGTTTCACTTGCTCTGCTTGAGCTTCTTTCTTCAGTTGAACAAAACAGCCATTGACTTCCATTGTATTTTTTACTTCCACAATGGATGTCAGTAGATTTGTTGTCATTCATCCATTTTAGACTATCACGTTATAAAATAATTGATGGAAATACCATATTGTGCATGCATTTTATAAATGCACATACAAAACTGAGTAGGATGAACCTTTTATCTGATAATCCTCTAAAAGCCATGGCACATTCATTGCATTTAGACTCCAAACTAGTTTTGTTTTTGATATTTGCCGCCTGTTTCAAGAGTTCACACTTAGCTGATGATTGGTTATAAAGCTTGTTTGGCATGCTGTCCCGGGAGAGAGCCCTGAGCTCATAAGATCCTCGAGGCCGAGGCTCCCTACCGTTTGCAAGGCGAGAGGGGAGTTTGAGCTCAGGTAGATCTGGAGAACTCCCCTGCTGTAGTAGCTAATGAAGATAGTGATCGCTCTTAAGAGACACTACTGTCTAGGAGCATGTCTATGGTGCTGATTTAGATTAGTCAATTAACTTAAGCGTTAGGAAACCGGGGAACCCGGGGGAAACCCACATGAGCACGGGGAGAACGTGTAAACGCCGCACAGAAACGTCGGCTGGCTTGGTAAGAACTAGAACCAGTGATGTTCTTGCTGTGAGGCAACAGTGCTAACCACTAGGCCACTCTGCATAGCATAGCTTTTTTTCCAACATTCCTCACAATATCTTCCTTTGTGTTTAACTGAAGAAAGAAACTCGTAACAGCTTACAAACACTTGAGTTTAAGTAAATTGGTGAACTGTCCCTTTAAATAAAAGATGTATTCTTATGAACTAACATAAACAAAAGATGCATCAATGAATGCATATATAAAATACTGAATGAAATGTATTGTTCAGTGTTACGTTATGCATTAACACATTCAGGTGTTACCAAGAAGGTAAAAAGGGTCAGTTCAGATTTCATGTCGACTTTTGAATACATATAAATGCACTTATGAATATGTCCGACACTTGGTGTGCGGAGGTAAACAGTGGAAGACAAATACTTGTTTTTAAACACAGATTAAAAGTGAGCACATGTTCAGTCTGTGAGTCTCTCTGTACCAGTTGAGCTGCTAACTAATCAAGTAACACACAATAAACCCCACACAACTCCAGCTTTCAGTTCAGCGTAACGGAAGGATAATAGAAATACAATGGCTTTTCTACAAATTTACAAAAGAAAACGAAGGCATGATGGCACAATATCTAAAATATAATACTAAAACTCTACTGGCGAACGCGTAGTCCCTTCCAGCGGCCATCAATGACCCCAAAAAAATAAACCTATTTACAAACCATATACAATGTCCAAAAAGACCATGTTTGTGATTTTAAACATGCAAAAATATCATACCATTTCATTTGAAATATTCATTCGCATTATGAGACACTAGATCACTAAAGGATCTTTAAATATCGTCCACTTTGGCTGGACCGCTGCACACGGAAACCAGTTTCAGGAGACGGAGCTGACCGTCTCACTTCTGTAAACGTCATTGTTTTTCTCCAGCAATGCAGTGAACAGGAATACGTTTGACTAATGTTCCCATTTAGTTGTGAGAACGTCTTTTCTGATTGTCCTCTGAACGTTCATGTCAGGTGTTTCAAAAAGGATAAACATTCCATTTTCGGAACAAGCATTCCAAAAATGAGTAACATTTAAAAAGCATTCCATGAACGTCCAGCAGAATGTCTCAGAAATAGAACATTCCGTAAATGATGTATAAATAATGTAACACTTTGAAATCGAGCTCAAGAAAATCTAGTACTGGAGGTGCATCTGCAGAACGTTTCCTGTTCGCTGAGTAGTCAGATACAGCACAGAAAGATGGCAAAGGCACAAATATAATAAAGGAAAAAGGCAGATGTGGTTTACAGCAAACGTTCAGGCTTGATGGCTTCACTGTAATTGATCAGAAACAGCACTGCAGTCCATTCAGTGTGGCACAGAACAGTAACTTCTTTTAAAAGTCCACCGCGATTGTCGAAATGGAAAAAAAGCACGTGTGGAGATCAAGAGACAAACTGACTTTAAATCCTCTTAATGAAGAGCAGCGGTCAGTCAGTCAGTGTGGTCCTGCAGTACTGTGTGTGTGTGTGTGTGTGTGTCTGAGAGGAAAATCAAAGCTTATGTGGACCTCCAGTACACACAACTTCCTCATTTTGGTACAAAAAATTGATAATTGGACCTTTTCCCACTCTCACAGAGGAAATATTATTAATGATGAAGCAAATAGTTCGCTCAAATAATGAACGTTATCATTTTCGCATGATCAACAGCAGTTTTTTTTGTCAGCTTTGGAAAAGAAAATGATGGAAATGCCATCTTTGAGTGAACTATTCCTTTCAGAATAACAATAGACTAACTACCCACGACTGCTAGAGTCAGCTAATGAAGTCAGACATGATTAGGAAAAGTGTTGTTGGTATCCAGAAGTGCTTTTTGATGAACCCTGCTGCCCAGCTCTCTCTCGCTCTCTTTATATAAATATCTGTCCATCTTCCACATGAACACTATCTGAGGCTCCGTTTGCTGGAAAACACACATTAGAGCAGTGAGAGGGAGAGAGAGATGGATGCTCAGGGTCCAGGAGGAGAGATGATCTCTGGGATGAAGACTGAACAGTTTTTAATGAGCACCTTTAGAGCCTGGAGGATTGTGGATCCAGTCCAAGACGATCAGAGACAAACTGCCGATCATGAAGAAGATTCCCACCACCAGGAAAATCAGTGCCTGTAGATAATGATGGAAATTATTCGTTAATAATAAAAATGATACATGCATTTATATTTAAATGCAATTGAATAATAAAAATATTAATATTTAAAAACACATAAGTAATATAATATAATACAATATAATTAATATAATATAATTAATATTAATAGTATAAAGAATATAATATATTTAATATAATGAATATAATATAATATAATTAATATAAATAATATAGTGTAATAAATATAATAATTAATATAATGAATATAATATAATGAATATATTATAATATAATATAAATAATATAATATAATATTAAATAATATAATATAATACATATTTTAGTGTTGTGCAAAAATTTAATCATGATTAATTGCAACCAAAATAAGTTTGTTTTGACATTGTGTTTGTGCTGTGTATGTTTTTTTATGTATATATAAATACACACATGCATGCATTTGTTTGAGAAAATGTTTATTTATGTTTAGATATTAAACATATATATATATATATATATATATATATATATATATATATATGATACAAATTAGATATTAATTTAAATACGTGTCTAACAAAAACTGTTTTGTATGTGTGTGAATCACGCATACATAATAAATATATTTATATATCTGGATGCAATTACCCAGCACTAAACAATGCATGTGCAGACAAATAATTAAGTCACATCCAAAAAAGAAGTTTGTATTTACATAATAAATGTGTGCATTGTGTATATTTATCATGTATGTATACGGTAAATACACACTTGTATGTACTGTATATATGAGAAAATGTTCATTTATCTTCATATTTGTATGCATATAGATAAAGAATACCTATATTTATACACACACATACATGTTTTTCTATTGTATATTTATTTTGTGTTACTTTATATGTTCATATATATTTATACATAAATATGCACACAACTTATTTTGGGTGTAATTAACAGTTTGACCAAAAAATAAAACAAATCAAAATAACAAAACCTGAAATAAAAGTACTTACAGATATTTTTTGAGGAGACTTCATTGGTAAACTCTTAACCAGCCGCAGGTAAAAAGCCGCTGGCAGGATAAAGATGAGCATTGTGGCTGCAGACGAACCTAAAGAAGGAGAAACAACTATTATTAGAAGTCTTCTCCTCTCTAGAATGAAAACACAAGTGCACAAACAAGCACAAGCTGCTGACCGATGAAGCCGAAGATGTCTCTGATGGTGGGCACGAAGATCACCAGCAGATTATTGAAGGCCAGAATAGCAGCGGCGATGAGGAAGTGTCGAATCCAGCTGAACTCTTTCCCTGCGAAACACAGCGTGATGACCGACGAGCGGATCTGAAAACACACACAGAGATATCACAATTAACATTATGCGTCTGAGAATGCTTGATTCTGATTGGCTGATGAACATTTTAAGGCCAATTTACACTAAGCACGATAACCATAAAGATAAGGAGGAATATATTTGTGCCCACACAGACGAACAATTATGATCTGGTTATTTTTAGATGATGATTTTAATTATGCATTATCCCTTTTGACCAGCAGGTGTCAGTCTCAGTGTGCTGCTAGCAGATCTGACCAGTGAATCCAGCTCGTGTAAGCAATCTGATCTAGTCAATTGAGCAATCGTAGTCATTTCTCCAGCATTTTCAACACAAACACACTGGATTCCTGTGCTACTTTTAATTTTAGACTTCCATGTATTTTTTCAGCATTATTTTCAATGCTATAACCACTTTTTTCCACGATGGTCATTATTTTAAAATAATTTTTAAAAGAGAAAATCAAGCATAGTACTTCTCCACAGTGTCCTCTCTGTCTTTAGATTGCGCAAGCTCTTTCATTTTCAATCGATTCTATCAGTGTGGAAAAAATCCTTCTGAAAGTGATCTCAATACTATCATTCCTCTGTATCGTTGTAGTTGTGCGGTGAACTACGTGTGCTATTCTTTAACCCTGTGATAACTACATCTTTATCGTTATCATTATAGCTCATTATACCATCGTTCTTGGTGTTAACATGCCTTAAATTGTGCACACGGAAACAGTTATTGTCATGTAAACGCACAGCTAAAGTAGTTCCGGCTGGTTTTATAGCTTCATATCACTACACTGAATGATACGCTGAGTTATTACACAGCTACAACAGTCAAAAATCACATCCAAATACAACAGAAGGCTTTGAAGGAGATGTGGAAGAAACTAGTGCTACACAAAGGAGCAATTTGAGGACAAAAAAATGACAAACGTGTTAAAATACAACAATTAGTCCAAGAATAAGTGCAGTACAAGTGTTGAATCATTAGATAATAGCGCACGCCTCAGCACCAGTCCATTTTTAATTATCCCTTACTTACATTACATTTAAAAAACATTTAAATATACTTAAGTAAATATCACTGTTGTTAAAAATATATTAAATGCCAAAAACAACCATATCAATATTTATTTGCATGTATAATCTATGTATCATCTAATATATAAGTTGAGTTGTGTTTTAATAAAGATGTTGCTATACGCGGTTAATGTTCTCATTATTTATATGCACCGTGTCCCAAACTCCCCCTACAAAACATCTGATCTGTAAACACTTTAGCGGCATGAAATGCTAAAGCTGCGCAGACGCCAAAGCATCTTCCATCAGATTTACAGACGACCGGCGGCTTTACAGATGATTCAAAACAAATGAAAAGCAAACAACTTCATTTATGAACACGAATTTCCATTTGGATTTAATCAAAATCCACTGGGAACTGATATGACTGTTATAAAGGTAATTCAAACACACACATACACATGCACGCACACACACACACACGAAGTCTGAATGGAGCCACAGCAGGTGAGTGAATGATCAGGTCACAGGACTACAACTGATCCGCTCAGAGCCTGAGAACCAGCTCACACTGGGCCAAAGTTCATACACACACACACACACACACACACGTGCACAAACGCGCACAGTTATCTTTATGGGTTCCTCATATCTGTAATAATGTTTCTTTTTGCTGTACATTTCTTTCTCCTCTACCCCTAAACTCAACCCTCACAGCAAACTATCAGCACTTTTACATTTTAAATGACTTCATTCTGTCTAATTTAGGAGCTAAAACTAAACTAAAAAACAAGGTCAAAATGTACTGGTATTGCTATACTTGTGGGGACATTTGGCCATCCTCTTTCTCTCTCACACACACACTGTGGTGGGCGGAGTCAGAGACCGGATTAGTGTGTAAGTGAGTGTTAGAGTTGCATCAGCCGTGGAGCGTCAGACTGATAGAGTTTGACTCAAATCACTGAAGCAGAGTCACATTCACTGATCCTGGACTTTCATCTCAACTTCTCAACATCTTCTGCCTTCAAGACGATGACGGCTTTTAAAGAGCTCCGATACAAACTGCTCTGTTCACCTACTGTACTCCTGAAAACTGATGATCAACTTTCACAAAGAATAATTTCATTTAATGGTAGACTACATTTCATATGAGTAAATGAATATGCATGACGTGAAAATAACTGAATTACTATAAAACAATATATATCAATGTATTATTAGCATGTAAAATTATTATATCTAAAAAACATTTAATTACATAGACATGTATATAAAGAAACTGTTTTATGAAATATGATAGATAGAGCGATAGATAGATAGATAGATAGATAGATAGATAGATAGATAGATAGATAGATAGATAGATAGATAGATAGATAGATAGATAGATAGATAGATAGATAGATAGATAGATAGATAGATGGATGGATGGATGGATGGATGGATGGATGGATGGATGGATGGATGGATGGAATAGGTGGGTGGATGGATGGATGGATGGATGGATGGATGGATGGGTGAATTTATGGATGGATGGGTGGATGGTTGGGTGGATGGATGAATGGATAGGTGGATGGATGGATGGATGGTTGGATGGGTGAATGGAAGGATGGATAGACAGAAAGACAATAGATGGATAGATAGACGGACAGACAGACAGATGATAGAATGATAGAAAGAATGATAGATTGATAAATAGACAGATAGACATATATATTTGTTACTGTTTTATGCAAAGTATTAATTAAGTCACTTTATTGCATACACAGTAACAAATATACTCTCTCTATGTACATCTTTCATCAAAGTTGTCCTAAAACTATTCAACTGTTCACTCCTGTATGTATAATATATATAACAACATAAACAACTGTATCCTGATCCTTAAAAAATTATTTTAGGAGCAACAACTAGATGAATGGAGTTCTCAGTCATCCTTTAATAACTTCTGGTTCGTCTGTTAGCGTGTGTAGGGCTCCTAATGTAATTAAGTCAGCAGATGACAGTCTTGCGCAATGCTCTGACAGGCAGTTCAGGACAGAAGAGACGCTGCTCCACGACTCTTACATAAAGCCCAGTTTTCTAGCGTCACCTTGGTGCCACATTTCAGCTCGCTGCCTGTCTGACCGCAAACTATTCCACAGTCCAGCGCCGACTCAATGTGTGAGATTTACTGAGAGAGTCTTCTGTCTGTGGCAGACGCTCAAACTCAAACAGACTTTACTAAAGGAGAAACTCACTAATAATAGCCGTGATACTCACACTTCAGCTCACTGAGAGTTCATTTCGAGTGAAGCACTTTAAATACAACACATCACTCACTGTAAAAAATGCAGAGCTCCACACAATCCCTTCATGTCGTCCCAATGCAAATCAATTGAGTTAACTTAATGGTTTTTCCTATTTTAAGTTGATTGAACTAAAGTTGTGCCAAAAAACCTCAAGAATTGTGTTGTTTTAGCTCATTTTCAATAAGTAATTTGAACAAGCAGATAAAATATTTTTTGGAGCAACCTGTTTTACTTGAATGATCACTTTTATTCAGCAGGGACACATTAAAGGCGCTTTATGCAAGTGTATGTATGCAAAATACTATAATGTGTTTGCAGAAATTTAAATAGGACCTATTATGCAAAAATCTATTTTATAAATTCTACTGTGAATATTATTAAAAATGGCTGAATTCAAATCAGTCACCTAATGTTTTGTTTCTTTATCAGTTTTCATATGTATTTATGAAAGGCTATAATGTGAGGAATATGTGAGAGATAAAGAGCATTTCTGCATATCGACTGTATGTACACTGGTAAAAATATCCATAAATTAGCAGTTTTCTGCATTTTGTGATTCGTGTTTTTAATTTGACCCATTTATTTATGCTCAATTATGATTATTTATTATCAATTAAGATCATTTATTTTAATACTAATTAATTTCAGTATGATACATTGGAAAGTTTTGAACATATGACTTATGACCAGGCCCACACGAAATCTGCGCAGATTTTTAGCCCATCATTAATTCTGTTTATTTACTTGAGTAAATGTGTGTAAATCTAAATTTATTTAGTTTTTTTATTAATTACAGTAATATTATTGACTAATTTGAACATGTTCATCTGATTACTGTACAATGCAGTTTGTAAAGTAACATTTTCTGTCTTTTAGTAGAGATATTATATGAGAGACTTGCTTTGTTTACCAAATAAAGTGAATCTAATTAGATTTGCAATTTAAACATTAAATAAAAGTTAAAAAACTATTACTTTTTATTTCACTAATTAAGGTTTTAGTTACGATACTCCCAAAATAATTCAGCAGAAATCTTCAGATTTTTACCAAAATTCTCCACAGAAATAGCAAAAAACTTTTTTTCTTTTTTCTTTTTTTTTTTAAACACAGCAACCTTTAAACTTCTGTTATTATAGAACAAGTCTACCTGGGGGTGGGGGGATTCGGGGTTGCTTTATCATGTGGTCATATGCTGTATGTTCTCTATATTAAACAAAAACTGAAATAGTAAAAACAATTGTTCACAAAAGGAAATAGCAAAAAACGTCAGCAAATTCCGTCTGGCCCTACTTATGACCATTTTATTAGTTATATTGTGTTGTGCTATATTGTGTTGGTTGGTGCTTTAAAAACCCCATATTAAACTGCCAGCACATTTACAGTTATTTTACAGACTTATTTAACTTTATATCATAGGTCTCAAACTGAATTCCTGGAGGGCCGCAGCTCTGCACAGTTTGGCTCCAACCCTAATCAAACACCACTGATCCAACTAATCAAGATGTTCAAGACTACTACACTGTAAAACCCAAAAAGCTAAGGTAACTCAAACCATTTGAGGAAACCTATTGCAACAAACCCTTTAAGTTAAAAAATCGGATCCAAATGAGTGCTGTGAACTTAATCCATTTGAGTAATCGAAGCACTCTGAGCACAGTAAAACTCAATAAGTTAAGGCAACTCAAACCATTTGAGGACACCGAATG